CTCCTCCTGTCCCACTATCATGCTCAGTCCCCACCAGGATTTCAGCACTTCCTCTTTGTTACGTTCCCCTTGATCCTGCCCTACCAGGTCTCGGGTGGAGAGATTTTGACTACAGATTATCAGATAGCATTATAAAAGGGTTTTAGGAGTGAAGTACCCTGAAGTCTGTAAATATTTTTAAATGAATTCAACAAGGAAAAATAAAAAACAAAGAGAGCAATAAAGCTAACAGGCATAACATTACAGTTGATGACAAGTTACATGAGTGTTTTTTCAACCTTTCTACAGAGTTCAACATATTCCAAACAAAAACTTGAAGAGGAAAAAAAATTGCCTTACAGTGCAGGCTTAACGGAGGCTAATTTACATAAAGAGCAGGCAACAATTTAAAATATCGAATGGTGATCTATGACGGATAAGACGCACACATTTCCCTGCTAGCTTGGTCCTGACAGGCCAATGGCAGAGAGACTAGTCAGTGTCCTACAGTGCCCTCTTGACCTGCTAAGGCTGCCGTGACCTGTGAATGCTCTTGACTTTCTAGTGTCGAGAGGAGATAAGACGGTGTCTTCATCTCTGAAAATGTCTACACTACAGTATGATTGTTAAAGGAAGAATAAAGGAAAAATTAGGAGGTAAAGAAAGGGTTTAGACCCTATTAACTACCCCACATATTACTGTCCCTCAACTACGGAACTAGAAATACCAGTGCACTTTATGATAGCTCCGTAAGATATGAAGATATATATACGCATGCATGTATCTGTTGAACCAGCTACTTTCCTGGGGAACCTAAAAGTCTTAAATATAAGGAGAAAAGAAGTATGCATCGTTACTTTTCACATTTGTCACATATTGAAACAAGTAAGAAATGGCTTTTTAAAAAACAGATATATGAGATTGGAACAGAATTCAGGTGTACATTTACCTCGATATTATATTCTGCCTCGTCGGTGTTGATTCTTATTGTAATATCCTCATCTCCGACATGGGCTAACACCCTAGAGTTAGGCTCACCTTAAAGGGAAAAATAGGTAGTGATCACTATTAAGAAATATTCCTACTGAATAATGCGTTGTGCATCAGTGTCAGGAAAATCACCCAAACCCCACACCAGAAAGGACTCTGCCTCAGTGCTGGGAGACCTGCAACCAAGCACCGAAGGCCCCACAGAAACGGAGGCTGCTCACATGCCTCGAGTCCGTCTCGACTCCACAACCAGTGCCTCCCGTGTGTGTGTGTGTGTGTGTGTGTGTGTGTGTGTGTGTGTGTGTGTCTCACGAACGAGACCAACAGGGCCGGGGTTCACTTGCGGGATAAAGAGGAACAAAGAAGCGGCAGAAAGCGTATTTGGAATGCACTCCTTGGGTCTTGGACTGCACTATTTGAGGATGTCACTGGTTTTTTTCCCACCCCTATTTGTAGAAAAATTAAACTGCAATTTCTTACTTGGTGCGTTTTCTCAAATCAATACACAACAGCGTAACGGATGAAGTTATCTTACCCCCTAGCTTCCCCATGTAGAATCTTTGACGGGCAGCTCATGCTGGCGACAGCAAAGCCTGATTCTCTGAGGGAAACTCATTGTCATCACTGAAATAAAGGCCAGTGTGTGACCTTGGAGCCAACAGCCGTTTCCCATCTACGAATGTTTGTGCTGAGCCAGTTCAAGGGGCTCAGGAACCAGTCGGCCCTTCCTTCTGGTCCCCACAGCAGGAGGCAAGTGTCATCAGGGAAGCACAGAGCGCGCAGGCCATACGAACCAACCACGTGTCCGCGGAAGAAGTCCTGCCACTTGACAGTGTACTGACTCTCGTTTTGGCCATCCACCACCACCACCTTGAAGTTCTGTGAGAAGTGCTCAGTACTGGACGTCAGGTATAACTTAAAATGCCTGAAAAGGGACAGGTTCACGTTTTATTACAAAGACATCAACTATAACCTTAATTTTCATATAATTACATTTTCTTAAAAAGTCAAGGTAGCTGAAATTACTAAAAATACCGTGCAAGTCACAACTACTGTTTACCTGGTACTTAGAACAATACAGACAAAGAGACTGAAACTATGAGAAGAAGGCATAGTTGTAAAACTCTGACAGACCCAGAGAACGAGGGGAACTAATGCAGGCAGGGAGGGGATTCACGGAGCCTAAGTGCTCTGGGGAATCTCAATCTCTCTCTCTCTCTCTCTCTGGACACACACACCGTGGGAAGTCTAGATTGGAATCCTGCAATCTTAAACATGTGTGAAAAGCTAATCAAATTAGACACCACATACCTACTCCGTGCTAGTATCTCTACTTCACACATGTAAAAACTGAGGCATAGAAGTTAGGTTAATCAACAAACTGGAACTGGAACTCAGGGTTTATTTCAAAATGCTGCACTATACTGCCTCTAGCAGCCAAGGGCAATATCCTACGAGAAAACTCTCAGCGCTGTCTGCAAAAGTAATAAAAGTTCATTTCTATGGGACAGACAACCGAAAAGTGGGTGAAGGGAGAAGTCGGACAGGGCAAGATATGACAAAATACCCATTTATAAACTATCAAGGGCTCATGTGGGAGAGGGGAGCGGGGAGGGAGGGGAAAAATGAGGACCTAATGTCGGGGGTTTAAATGGAGAGAAAATGTTTTGAGAAATGATGTACAAATACGCTTTACACAATTGATGTGTGTATGGATTGGGATAACAGTTGTATGAGCCCCTAATAAAATGTTTAAAAAAAAAAAAGTTGAACTGGAAAAAAAAAAAAAAAGTTCTCAAAAGATGAGACTGTCAGAGGAAACTCAAGGCAAGCTATGCGGCACTGAGATTAACATACATGCTCCAGTCCTTTAGTGGGCTTAATATGCTTTTGCTTTCTACGAGCTTCAGTCCCGACCTAAGAACTGGGAGTGGCGAGGAAGCATTGTTCAAGTGTGACTAATCATTAGGCCCCTTCCGCGTGCTTCTGTTGGAGGCATGCCGCATCTCGAGGACGTGGGCGCGTTCTGTCAGCTGGGGTCTTCAGAGCGTGAAGGGTGGCTTCCCCATGGGTCTGGAAGAGCCTTGCAACTGCCAGCAGCAATCTGGACTGAAACGATCTCCATGACAACGAAGAGTTTTAACTGTGTGAGCATGCCAACGTCATTTTAGTTTCCTTGTGGCGTTTCTATGGTCACAGCGAGAGACAATAGAACATTATTTCGCAAAACCTAGAAGCCTCTCTCCTGCGATTCTAAATGTATCTTCCCACACATTCACAGCCATGAACTTGCTCCCTTCACTCATGCTGCGAACTCTGGGAAGGAAAGGCGCAGTGCCGTGCACGCCTCGTGATTTCATTTCAGAGTTCTCTGAGAGGCCACGTGACTTATCTCCATGTTCTTTCCAGACCAACAACGGAATTGCGGTCCTCGTGGAGAAGCGACTTTATCAGAAAGGTCAAGCAATGATACAAGTTCAGCATTTTGAATTTTTGATCTTAATCTACGAGATTAAGGATTTGTCAGAATTTATGGTATTTTACGAGGTGAGTAAAAAAGCATTGCTACAAAATCATGAAAACTGTTACTAAACAAAATACAAGGAATTCATTTCTCGACATATGCTCCATCTGACTCGACACACTCTGAAGACAGTACTTCTGTCGTCCTAACGTCCCCGGAAGAATTCGTGCTCTAACCTATTCCACATCAAGACGGTGGTTTGCGTTCTCTTCCAGACCCAAGCTGTGTTTCTCTGAAATGCTCTCTGAGCTTGGGGAGCAAAACAAAGGCGGAAAGGATAAAATCGGGGCTGCAGGGGTCAGTAGGGTTGGGTTTCCCATCGAAATTCTCCCGGAACAGACCTGGCACCCGCTAAGAATGAGCAGGTACATCTTATGGGGACACTCCTCAGCACCCTGCTCCTGGCCTTCTCCTTCTCAATGCGGTTTTCAGATGTCTTTTCTTAAAGGTTCTCCATAATAATCCCCCAGGAATCACCTTGTGTTCTTAAAAAATAAAAAATCCATCACAGTAAGGATTCCTTCCAAAGCCCTCAAAACAGTCACCATCACTTCCAGAGAGGCCTCGTGCACGGCCAACACCCTGGGTCCACTGGTGGCGGTTGGACCCGGCTCCCTGGAGCAGGATCACTGACCAGCCTCATCCCAATACACAACTTGTTACCAACCGTCTTCACTCGCTTTCGTCTTGCTGGAAAGAGCGAATGGGGACCCACTCTTGAGTAGGTGGCACCCAAGGGGCCAGAGGCCTGCTGAGGCCACGAAGCTGCTTAAAACAGAGTGTCCCAGGCATCGCTGCGCCAGGGCGGTGGTCCGGTCTTCTCTGCCTGATGCCAGTCTCCCCTTCCCGCCTCGTGGTGGGGCTGCCTGGCCTTCTTGATGAGTTTATGTCGGGTGCCATCCTCGCCAACTTGCTGCAAAAACTCAGTGATCAAGGGAGATGTCCACTGAGTTTTATTAAAATTTTGCTATGTGCCCATACTGCAATTCCGCACACACCCCCACCCCGGCACTTTTTTTTTTTTTTTAACGACAGCATCTTATGACGAAGACAAGTGTCAGACTAAAACAATGTGCTCCCTGAAGCCGCCCACCAACCACGGAGACAAGCTTAACCACCTGTTGTTTAGACTAAACAATACTTTCTGACTCACCCTCGTCTTTTATCTTCCCAACTTTATGTGAAGTCGCTCATACACAAATTTCCCTCCTACAGGCAGCTGCCAAACCAAGACAGGATTTTCGTTCTGACATAAGTCCAACACCACTTTCTTTTTAAAATTTTCATGTTCATGATTATTGTCTTTTCATAATTAGCACCTGATTGATTTTGTCTTTGGAGGTTGGCACAAGAACGATATAATCAGCAAACTGCATGCTGCAGCACTGTATGGAGAATATATTACTAACAATAAGACGTGCAAAAAAGAACCAAGAAGCAGACCGTTTGCAAGTACAGTTCACTATGACTTGAATATACAGGCTTGATACAGCCTTGCAAAGTAAGGCTCAGAAAAGTTCATGGAAAAATGAACTTAAAAGATAATGAAAATTTTTCTATGAATTTTTTGAAGCCCCCTCAAGTATCTTTCTGACTTTTAATTCAAGAGTTTATAGTAACTGAGAACTAGTGTAAACTGTCTGAATAAATATTTCATAGCTACTTTTAATGGTCCATTTAGTTAGGTATGTGTCGTCGTCGTCCGTCTGTGTCCCCACCCCCACCCCTGCCTTTTTTTTTTTAATCAATCCAGACCCTCCTTAAGTAACCTGAGAAATTCTACTTTTGGGAAAAACATGTATTTAAGGTTAAAAAAAAAATCTGACATTATCAACTTTTTCATTACCTTAGCATGATGGTGTTTATTGATTTATATCCAAGAGGAAATTAGACATTTAAGGTAAATTTTAAACAGTTTCACTTTTCCATCATAAAGTAACTTTAACTCCTCATGCAGCATATCCATGCTCTCTGCATCTTCTAACAGTCCCTCCTCTGAACTTAGCACACATGACTATTTAAGATGTCTTTCTTGTAACATCCATCTGCTCCTGTGTGGGCTGCAACCTTAGAGGCAGCTCATCTTCCGAGGAAAAATAACGTTCTGTGTTTCAGACCTGAGATAAAAACTAGCAGTGCCAACCTTGACCTCCAAGCATTCCTTTGGTCTGAGCAAAGGCCAAGGGAAAAGGTCTTGTACAGACTAGGCTCGTGGCTTCACCCAGGCACCCGCACCCTGGTACAGACTTATCCTCGCCCCCCACTCCCACCCCCACCGGTTCCTTTCTCTTAAGCTTGAGTGACACAACAGAAAGCAAAAGGCATAAGATTTGGCAATTGACAAACCACCGTTGAATAGCAATTTGGCCTTAGACCTGATTTCTGAGCCCAAACAGCCTCATCTACAAACAGAGGTAATACTATCTACTAACTGAATGGTTTTGAAGATTATGTGACATTACGTATTTTTTAAATAGCTGGTATGAAGTTCTCACACATTGTTAGATACATTTCCCACTGAACATTTAAGATGGAAACTAAAATACAAGCTTCCTTGTTTCTTAAACGGACAGAAGTAAATGAACACTGGCTAATGTTTTCTCAATTAGTCAGTGTTACTCAATGTCGGTGAAAAGACCCGAGGGTGTGAAGCGATGGAAGCGTCTGCCCTCGTAGCACTGCTGCTAGGGGCCACTTCACATCGAATTTCACAGCACCACACAGAGCAGCACTTTGAGTTCATATCCACCTACCAACCTTGCTACCAATGTCGCAGAAATGCATACGTATTGGAATTGGGCTTGCATTCAGATTGGTGAGCTAGTACTTAAATTCTGTAAGCCTTAATGTTTTTACTTCAGAAAAGGAGTGACAAACACTTGTACGCAGAGTGTGTTGAGATACAGAGATCATGGAAGCAATGTGCCTTGTGAAGTAAATCATACAAAATAAGCATCTCAAAAACTATAGTTGCTACTACTATTATCACTACCACCACTCTGCTCAAATTTGCTATTGTCTGAGAGCTAGACAACTAACAGTCATAATTTTTGACATTAAATATAACAGAAGTTATTTAAAAATAATGATACTGGTAATAACTACCAAAAATACAAATAGTCAAATACACAAGACTATGGTTAATTTCTGTTATACATTATGCAATACTGCAACTCAGTCACCAAAAAGACAAATCCAATAGAAAAAACCCAAACCAAACTCACTGCCACCACGTGACTCTGACAGTGACCATGTAGTTGAGAGTTTACAAGGCTGTGAATCTTGACAGAGGCAGAAGAGTTTCAGCTTTCTCCCTTGGAGAAGCTGGTAGGTTCGAACGGCTGAACTCCGGTTCAAAGTTCTCCAGGGCTCCTTGAACCAGCCCTACCCGCAGCAGATCCTTCAGCACAATCACCTTCACTTGCTGCACGTGCAGCTTTGCAATCACTGGAAAAGTTTACAGCCTTTTCTTGCACTGAAGTCAGGCTAAGTAAGGACCACGCCACCTGTTGCAACCTGCCTCCACATGTGAATCATGGACACAGTAACAGACAGTGGGAAGGAGACCTGGTGGCACGGTAGTTAAGTGCTCAGCTGCAAACTAGAAGGTCAGAGGCTCGAACGCAGGAGCTGCTGCTCTGCAGGACAATGTGGCATCTATAAAGATCACACAGTCAGAAACCCTATGGAGCAATTCATTCTACTCTGCCTCTAAGGGCCCTTTACAGAAAGGGGCTCGGGTTTCGGGTTAGTATTGGCAACGATAACAAGGAACCAACTCATACTGGTGTTGGAAGAATAAAATGTTTTCATCTCATTGGGAGGAAATCTGGAAATACCTACAGACATTTAACATGTACAAATCATCGAACCATCAATTCTCCTTCCAGCATGTTTCTTTCTCATCAAGAAGTTATACTTACATAGACAGGTAACCCTACAGAGATAGTAACTGTGTTCATGGCTTAGAGGATAGAGATGGAAAGGTTGGAGGGATACGGGGAGCTCATAATGAACACCAGGAAGAAAATGTTCTAGAATGGACTGTAATGATGATTAATCATACACCTTTTTAAAGTACTACTGAACTATGGAACATTATGATATGTGAATTATATTTCAATAAAACTATTTTTTAAGTTTATTCACAATTCTTCACTGACGCATTGTTTATTACAGCCACATCCCTCCACAGCTCCCATGCCCCAAATCACTTTGCTTAAGTGTTACCTATAAAGTACTAATCAAATAAACTATAATAATTATATGCAACAAAATACTTACACAGCTGTTTAAAATGAAGCTAATGAAAGTTATCTATATCACCTATATGCACATATTGATCTAGAGGCAAAAAGTATATATTGAAATCTTCCAGAAGTTCACACACGAAACTCTAGGTCTGAGGAGTGACTGACTGTGAGAAGCAAAGACATTTTATCCACTTCTGGGGATGGTTTGTTTCTAAAAACAGGTCCATTTAATAGTTTTTGATTGTTTGTTTGTTGAAATCTTGGAGGTCTATCCCATGAATAAAGAATTATCTGGCCCATTTATGTCCTCCTAGTGTTTGCTTCAGATCCCTGTAGGCGGAACAGTTAAAAGCCAACTGACAGGTGGGCAGTTCAAAGCCACACGCTGACTCCACAGGAGAAAGACTGGGCCGTGGGCTCCCATAAAGACTTACAGCCTTAGAAGCCCTCTGGGGCAGTTCTACTCCATCATAAAAGGCCACAGAGCCACAGTGGATTTGGTTTGGTTGTGCTTGCTTTCTGATATTAAATAAGGGCACTGAAAACAGTTTTTTAAAAGAGGCCTGCAATCGCCTGACAAATTTACATCTTTAACACATTATGAGCAATATGAGATTGACCGCCCAAGTACGGCACATGAGTGAATTATGTTACGAGGGAAGAAGAACTCAATATAGAAAAAGTACTGAATGCTAGCCCCAGCTCACCGCTATGTTATGAACCCTGAACAAATCCTTTATCCCTAAGCTGTCGCAGGGTCTTCCTATACAAAACAGATCCTTGTTACAAGGCGGACGGTGCTAAAGTAGCACAAAAAACATGCGTCATAACCATTCAGTGAATCAGAAACCTGTGCTGGAATTTCAAAAACCGTCCTATCATTAATACCCTTCAAAGACCAATTTTCTTTTGTAATACTCATCAGTATGAATTTTAAAATAGCCAATACATTATTGCAAAATCTTATGACAGATGTAATTATAACTTACAAGTCTTTACATCCTAAGACTTCAGTAGACAGCCTTATTTCTCTGCTTTTGCCAATCCAAGTCCACATGATCCCAACATTATTCTATAAATAATTCCCATTACCTTTTCAAAGCTGAAAAAGTTAGTAGTGTTTCCAAATGTGTTGAAGTCTGAAGATCCCTTTTTCTTACTGAGTGTTGCTGGATATTGGATAACGAGAGGATATCGTAGTCTGACAGCAAATCATCAAGCTTTTCTGTAATCAAGGTACAAAGATAATTAGCACCTTAGCCCATTAATCAACTGTGACATCACTAAAATGGAAATCCAAGCAATAAACTCTTCTTGAACCATACAGCACTCCCTCAGTCTTAATATTAAAGAGGGAAAAAAAGGACCTGCCTCTAATCTTGAGCTGACTTGGTTTTTAAGGCATGAAGGGTCAGATGCTGGTTAAATAACAATCTAAAGAAGCACTCACACTGAGGACTTGCAAACAGCCAACAAGCACTATGAGAAATGCTCCTGTTCACTAGCCTTCCCTGAGGAGAGATGCAAACCCACAGAAACCCCACTTACGCTGCCACTGATAGTTTAACAAGCAGAAAATAATGAGTCCTGGAGAGGCTGCAGAGACTGGAACCCTTCTGCAAGGCTGGCAGGACTGCAAATATGAACTGCAGCCATGCAAAGCCATGCAGCACCACCCCAAACTGTGAACAGCCATTCCGTCGCTCTAGCAATCCCTCTGCGGGCACATACCCTAGAGAACCAGAGACGAACGCAGACAGACACATGCACAGCACTGCAAGAAGATGCAGTCACCCTACACATCCCGAAAGGAACTCTGGTGCCGACACTCGGCAGACAAAACCCCATCAATGAGCATCCGTCACCAAAAAAGAAAGAATAAAAGATGCAGGCAGCACATGTGCAGAAAGACAGACACCCCACCCACCTCACCCCGCCCCCAATAGGACTTTACAGCCCACAAGGGGTGGGGAGGAGAGACAAGATGGCAATGGGGGAGCAGGGCACTAATCCACCCAAGGGGAGGATATTGCTTGTGTCTCCACAGGAAAGGGAGAGCGAGAATAGACCTCACTCCAGTGCGCCAGGCCTTGAGGGCGACGTCCCTGCTGGGAGCTGCTCGTTCACAGACACAGAAAGGCCTCAGCTGAAGACCTGACCGCTCCAAAGACAACAGCTACAGGTGACAGCACTGAAGATACAGTTCGGGGAATGCAGCTGATCTGACCCGCTCACATGGGGGCAAACCACAAGGGAGTACAACAGAGCAAAGCAGAGCCCCACAGTCCCTGAGGAATCTCAATAGCAGACATCTGACTCAGGGGCAGTGCTTGGCACCTCATCTGAACTGGCTGGGCGTTATTCACAAAGGGACCACACTGAAAGTCTAAAGGGGTAAGGGTGTGTGTGTGGGGGGGGTGGGGGCACTAGACTGCTCCATCCCTGACTGCAGGAAGAGCAATGGGGACATTTAGGAGGCATGCCTCTCGGTCACTAATGCTGAGGACTGAAAGGGCGCTGTTAGGTAAGCAGTCCCAGACAACAGGGCCTGCTCGCTACATAACACGGAACTCTCCTGCACTCTGGGTCAGGAAACACGTGGAACCATTTGTATCGTAGTGGGGCAAGAGGAAAGTTGCACAAATTATATACATAGGTATAAGTATAGCTATGTATACACCTAAGTATATAAATACATATACCGTAGGATTTGTCTGTGTGTATATATACATATGCTATATATATAGCAAGGAAGTAGATGGACTTTGGGCCTCTACTTAAATCTTACCTCAGTAGAAGAATAGTTTGTTCTAAAAATACAACATCATATGATAAGGCACCTTCCTGACATGTTTGCTGAAGACAAAATAGGTGCATACAAACTTGTGTGAGCACGAGGTGTCGATGGGATCAGGTATCAGGCATCAGATGACTCCAAACAGACAAATATATGATGCAAATGATGGGGTCAGAGTGGAGACCCAAAGCCCATCTGTAGACAACTGGACATCCCCTCACAGAAGAATCCCAAGGAAGAGGCGAGCCAGCCAGGTGCAGCATAGCACTCACAGAACACAAAAGCATGAAAGGAAGTTCCCCCCACTTTCATGACCCAAGTCCTACCATACAAAGCTGGCAGGACAGGAGCATGTAAGCTGGTACAGAGACGAGCTCTCGACACACTCAACCCAGGACAGATAACCCCTCAGGCACAGTAAAGGGAGTATTGATACCATGAGGGCAGAAGGAAGGGGGGGGGCGGGAGAAATAGGGAACACACTACAAAGATCAACACATAACCCCCCACCCCACCCCAGAGCGACGAACAACAGAAATGTGGGCAAAGGGAACCAGCGGATGGTGTAAGCTATGAAAATAATAATAACTTATAATTTATCAGGGATCCACAAGGGTGGGGTGTGGAGGAGAGAGGGAAGAAGACTGATACCAAGGGCTCAAGCAGAAAATGTTTTGAAAATGATAATGGCAACACATGTACAAATGTGTTTGATACAACTGATGTATAGATTGTTATAAGAGCTGTAAGAGCCCCCAATAAAATGACTTATTTTTTAAAAAAAGGGTACACAAACCAATGTAGTGAAGAAAGCTGATGGTGTCTGGCTATTAAAAGATATAGCATCTGGGGTCTTAAAGGCTTGAAGTTAAATAAGCAGCCTTCTAGCAGGAAGCAACAAAGCCCACATGGAAGAAGTACATCAGCTTGTATGATCATGAGGGGGTCTACAAGAATAGGTATCAGAAGTTCAAAAATAAGCAATCAAATTGGCATGAAGGAGCATGAACAAAGTAGAGACCCAAACCCACCTGTAAGATCAATGGACAGTCCCTCACAGAAGGGCCACACGGAAGGGGATGATATATCCAGGGTGCAGTATAGCACTGATGAAACATATAACTAACTATCCTCTAGTTCTCTAATATTTCCTCCTCTTACTATTACGGTCTTTGTGGGGGGAGGTCTGATGAGCAGGCATTCCCCCCACTGAGGGCAATCAGTTGCCAGACTGCTGTCTCATCCCTCCACAGGGGTGGGCCTGCTCCCTGCCTCTGGGGACAATGGACAGGCTCCTGTAGGCGGAGTTTTCACCCTACTGATAATGGCTCCTATGGAGACCCAGAGACCACCCCCTAGACCACCCTCATTGCTGTGTAGCCTATAGTGCAGCTCCTCCCTGTGGCGTATGTCTCTACCTGTAATTAGTGGGCTGGCATGCCCCCAAAAGGTATATGGGCGTGAGTCAGCAATATAGCTCTCTCTGACTCTGAGCTCCTTGCTGCTCACTCCCTGGTCACTCCCCTCTCCCTTGTTCCCTTGCCCTCCTTCCCTTCCTCCTCTCTCCACGTGGACCACCAAGCTGGGCTGAGGTGAGCAATGGTACCATGTAATATGTCTGACTGTATTATTATATTATCTCTCATGCTCTCAATGACTTTAATATAATACTTATATATCTCAACCGTACAATTGTGCATTACTGAACCCAGAAGTAGTATTACTGAGCCCACGATCAGCGGGTGGGGGCTGGACCCCCACTCCCCCGTATCATTTTTAACTTAATACTACAGGTCTTTGTCTTACCTCATTAATCTTGTTGGACCTGTGTATGTTCATTTGTATAATCAAGATCACTGGATGCATGGAAGCCAAGATAGAAACCCTTCAGAAACAGTAAAGGGAGTAATGATTCCCTGAAGACATGGGAGGAAAGGGGGGGGTGTGATAGCAATGATGACTATATATAAAACCCCACTCAAGAGGAACGAATAACAGAACTGTAGGTGAACGGATACATTGGATGTTGTTAGATCGGCATAATAAATAAATAAATAGTAATATATAATAATAAGGCTTCCTGGAGGTTAGGGTAGAGGAGTGAGGGGCTAGGGGGGAGCTGATTTCAAAGAGTTCAAGAAGAAAGAAAATATTTTTAAACTGATGGTGGCAGCAATTGTACAATTATGCTTGATCTAAGTGAATTTGGATTGTTATCATATCTGTAAGAGCTCCCAGTAAAATGATTAATAAAGAGAAAGAAACTCTGTTAACTCCGCACAGTGGAATACGCTGCATCCCTCAAACACTCCGACGAGGAACCACGAAGCCCCTGTGCTGAGTGATGCCAGCAATCACAAAGGAGTGTTTGAAAAACAAAAGGCAAGGGAATACTTAAAAAATAGTCAACGTCAAAACAAAGGGAAGAGACTTTGGAGAGGGGATAGAGCAAGGCGCAAACTGGGGGAGGGTGCTTTGAGTGCACAAGAAGACAGGACGGCAGCAGCCCACAAGAGAGAAGCGCCAGGCCTATGGTAAACTCCTGCAAGATTTGATAGGGAGTTTAAACTGTTGAATGTAAAGTTGATGATCTGAAATGTAACCCCCGACCTAATTTACAACAAAAGCTATGTAGGACAATAAGAATGCTCACATTTCTTTCTTCTTTAGGACTGTCAAGTGCAGTAGTGGGGAATGGGGCACGGGCACGCACATGCAAACAGAGGCTGACCTGTAATTGACCATGAGCAATCCTTGAGGATTTTCACTACCTTTGCAACAGCCAAGAACATTAATATTTCTTCATTAAAAAATGACCCAATTTCCTTAAGAAATAAGTGACACGGGGAGTTGAGGGTGGGGGTGTAGAGCCATGAGTAAAAATAGTCCTAATAAAGACAGCAAATGTAATCTGTGAACTTCTTTGGGCCTGAGGTCAAATTACTGTGAAAAGATATTTGAGATAATTAGGGAAATTTGCAAATGGACTGTATATTACATACTGGTAATTTTGTTATCTCAACAAGCATCATATTATATATACAGTGAGATAGCATCATAAAAAAAGGCATTTCTAGCTTACATGTTTACAATTTCTAAGATCAAAGAGGCCGGCTCAACCTGTCCCTCACCACCTGAGCTCTATCAACTCCTATGGTCTGAGCACACCACACACACGGGGGAAATAGCCGTTCACAGAAAGTGAGTGACACAGTCCACATCAAACCACACAAAAAGTGGTCACATCACTACCATTGCTGCATGAGAACAATCACAACAGAGTGTCAATCAATACGTAGGACACTGTGGAGGAAGCAAACAAATCTCTAGGGGAAAAATTAACATGAATTATTTTACTAGCCTAACTTGACCTGAGAGGAAAAGCACAGGCAGGCTTGTTCTACAGACAAGCAACCTAAGTCCTCACT